ACCCATAGTTGGTCTCCTTTAAATTATTACTCCTAACATACAAAGCTCTTAACAACCAAGCTCCATCATATATTAAACATCTTATTGTTCCATACTTTCCTAACAGAGCACTTCACTCTCAGACTGCAGGTTTACTTTGTGGCAACCTGAAGTTGCACATCAATTTGGTTTAATTATTTGCACCTGAGTTGTGCACCTCCGTCACAAACTGTAACTCAGATCACCTGCATAAGCTGCAGTGACCGCGCCTTTAAAAGCCTCCCACACACTCTGTGTGTTCGTTCCTTCACTTGTTGCCTAAGACACAAGTTGATCAGCTGTTTCCAAAAAAAAAAAACACCTGTGTTAAAAACACTCCTAAACGAAGCGTTTAAACCCTCTGCCGGATTGAGTTTCTAATCGTGGAGTTAAAAGAAGAAAGCTGAAGCCGAACAAACCAAAAGCCTGCTGGAATTGAYGTCGACAAAAGCTTCGTCTTGCTACGGCGTTCCTGAAACAGCAGTTCCCTCGCATCGCCAAAACAAAATGTAAGTCCCTAATGAAAAACAAACTTAAAACTAATGTTTAATAACTAAAAAACCAGGGGGGGTAAAAGGGACAAATTGTCTTGTATTGTTGTGTTTGAATTGTTTTGTATTTGAGAAATTTCATCTCTTTTGTCTGTGCTCACTTCATTTAAATATTTTTGTCACTTAGTACTTAATTTAAGTTGACAGGGTGTACAGTTATATTTTTTCTTATATAATCTGTATGTCCTGGTGTGGTCGGTTAGTTTAACTCATTCTAAACCATATATTGTAAAGCTAACAGTTAAATCTCAATCGGGTCCAAAATATCTTGTATGACACCTGGCTGGTGCCCAATGTAAATATTCAAATTAATAACAATAAAATCTCTAAACAACTGATACGTCACAACTTGTGGTTCCTCGAATTTCTAAAAGTAGAATGGGAGGCAGAGCTTTCAGTTATCAAGCTCCTCTCTTGTGGAACCAACTTCCAGTTTCTGTCTRTGMRGCTGACACTCTGTCTACTTTTAAGATTAGACTGAAGACGTTCCTTTTTGATAAATCCTATAGTTAGACTTAGGTTTCCTG